TCCGGACCGGCTCTGCTGGGACCGGCCGGCCGTCCCCCAAACTGCCCGTGTCCGTCTTTTAAAAGGCAGCCGGCTCGGGTCCGGCCGGGGGGTGTCCTGGCAGCGCCGGCGGAGGTCGGCGAGGCTGAGCGTGAAATCGCTGCTCGGGTTCCTCCAAAATCTGTACTTTTTTAAGCGAAGGACGGCCGGCCGGTGGTTCGAACCCCGTCCTGTCTGACTCTTACGCCGGCCTGTGCTTCGTGTTATGTGAACTTTATGTCGGGGGGAGGGATTTTCCGGGTGGGAGAGGGGGACACAAAGTAATTTGCGGGAGGACGTGCAGGAGCAAGAGGACGGTGTCAGGGACTAAACTCACCCCTAACCCGCCCAAACCCCTTCTGTCTTTCCGAACGCAACTCCCCTACTCGGTAAGCAGAAATCTGTTTGTCTTTACCATTTCGAATTGCGGATCCTGATCCTCACCTGCAAGGCTGTCCATACCCACCGTTTTCCTGATTCCCCCCCACACACACACACCCCGCTCTCAGGGCATCTTCCTGCCCCATCGATCCTTCTCATGTTTGATAGTTTGGGGAGGGGGAACAAAAGGGTAGAGGGGGGTTCCCCATTTGGTCATGTCCTATTGTCTATCCACCAGCAGAAATGGAAACAGACCCTTCATTACTCTGAGTCATTAAAAATCTTCCCATCGGTTTTGCGGGAGAAGGCTTCCTACCCGCAAGCTTCCTGGTCAAATTTCAGCCGAGAGAAAGGCAGTTTACTCAGGGTAGCTGTCGGCATATATTATCATGTACTGCCATATTTTACAGCCAAGATAGTGGCATTTCCCTGTCATATGAAATTTTTATTATCCTACCATGATTATAGAATATCAATACTGTCATAACATCATCACTAGGTCGAGCCCGGGAGAGTGAGGTGCAGTAAAACTATAGGCATTGGCAGTTCATATCCCAATGTGTCATGAGGTAAAGAACAAGGTAACCTGAAGGGAACTAAGTAGCTTCGCAGAGGTGCTATGAGTCTTTCAGTTTTTAAGATGCATTATTTATGTCTGCTTGTCTCTGTTAGTTTCAGACTAAGAAAAAGCACAAATAAATGTGCCTTTAAGGCAGTCTCTCTTTCCTCTGTTACTACACGGCTGGACAAACACCTGGTTCTTTCAAAGCAAAATGGCTGGAGTTATCTTGTCACATTTTTATACTCTTAAAAATATTTAGCTCTGCTCACACAACATCTGAGCAGCAGCAGCTGCTCAAGACCTTGATTGAGCAAAGTCTATATATAGCTCTTGGACAGAGAAACAAGACAAAGTTTGCTGAAGTGTCCAAGGACTTCTCTAAACAGTAAATATCCTTCCACAGTTTAAGTACTTTGCTGCACCAACTGGAGAAATATGAAGTCCGATGTAAGAGTAAATGACCACACCATAGGAAACAAAGGATCCCATCAAGTCTGGCATGTCAATATTTTCTTTACTATCTTTCTAGAAAGTAAACATGTTGGAGGTAAAATTGCTTTAAAATAATCCCATTCATTTCCTTTCTGGCCTGTTGCTGAATGTAGAAAATAAAGGCAAGATCTGCTAATTAATTTTACAGAGACTCTGCTAGCAAATCTGTCTTCTAAATCTTCCTGTCCCTCCCATCTCTTTCTTAGCCAAATCTGATTAGAAAGAAGACATCTTTGTTCTTTGTCTACCTCTCCTGAAAGAAATCGCAGACCTCTTCTAGTCTAACTCCTGCTCTTCCGCCAGCACAGAAGTTTGCATCACAGCATCAGATACCCTCTCCTGATCTTTAAAATCCACCACACCGTACAGACCAAGTCCTCCTCTGCTCCAGTCTGGGCCTCCCTTGATCACCCAGCGTCTGCTCTTCCTCTTTCCCTAACACAGCCCCTCAGTGAAAAAATCTCCAGCGCAGCTTTCCCACCCAAGCCTCCCTTTGCCATCCTGCTCCCTCCCACATGAAAGTAATTTCTTTCCCTCTGCTGTGCTGACTGCTCTTCATCTCTCTTTTTAGAGGCTTGTCCAACTGGCCACAGTAAAATGCTTTGCTCATATGATCAAAAGGGATTGAGTGACTATTTTGTTTGATGGATTTTTCTACTTGAGGTAACGCTATGAGCGGACCTCGGCATACTTTTTGTGTGAGAGAGTATTTTAAAAATAAGTATCTTTTCCTGCAGACATTTGCACCTAGGCACAAAAGTACCGTGCTGGTAAGTTCAAGCTGGCACAAAGAGGACCAATATTTTTAAGTATGTAAGTCCTCCTGATTAAAAAAAAAAAACCAAAAAAAAAAAAACAAACCCCCCCCCACACAAAAAAAACCCCAAACACAAAACCTTCAAGCATTAATATCTGTACTTTCAGTTTAAGTTGTTATTGCCCCAAAAGTTCGTTCTGCTGCTTCACTGGTCATTACAGTCCCTTTAGCTAAGCACTGGGTGGAAAACATGTATTGCCCTTCCTCTGCTTTGTTGGAGAGTCAAGAGGTTTAGGTCAGCTTCTCGGCACTTAAAGCCAAGCCAGTAGACTTTGCACTGAAGTGACTGAGATATAGTCGCATATTCTGTTCCCTGTCCCTGAAAAAAAGGTGTTTCCATTAGCCAAGGGGCATGGGAGCGTTATAACACTGCAGAGATGGCTAAGTAAAAGCTCGGATCAGTAAAAGTAATTAAGCACTTAACTCCCACCAAATTCAAAGGAAACAAAGCATCTCCATACCGTTATGAATTACACCACAAACATCTGAATTGCTTCTGAAAAGTCTAACAGAAGCTTCTACGTCAGATAAGCAATTTTGTGTTCATGAGGCCCAAAATAAATTTACAGGATCGAGGTTAAACGTTATACTGTATTGAAGAGCTTCCAAAAGCTGCTGTTAGCTCATTATGGCATTAGTCAAGGTTATCCAGGGATTATTCCAACTCTCTCCTGATACATGGGCCACAGAGTTACAGCCTGTCAGGATGAGCTGCAGGGATCTGAAATGAGCTGCAGAGGCCTGGGAAGACTTACTGGGTTGGTCACCCAAGCGCTGAATATGCTTTAAGAAAAAAAAAAAAATCAGCATGGTGCCTTTTGTGTTGCCTCTGTGTGTATTTTAGATCACAGGTTTCCAGCCTCTGACTTGGGGATCTGTGGAGTCGCTATATTTAAGTAGGCTCTGCAAGATAACCAAGAAAAGTGGCTGTACTGTGACTGGTTAATTCGCTCTACCTTCCCTGGAAAACACTGAAGGCACCAGAAACTAGAAAGGACTGAAACCCCAAGGTTTTAATCAACTGCGATGTTCTGAATGAAGAAAGGAACAGCTTTTATACAGCCCTTAATGTTCTAAAAGCTGGAAAATCCTTGCTTTGCCTTTGACAGAGTTTGGGACAGCTTCCAGTGGCAAGTGCAGGCTCTCCCGGGTAGCCCACTGACCCTTGAGGTCTCCTCACCCATCCTGTGCAGGTCCACTTTTCAGACAGAAACCAGCCTAGATGGGTTCCCGTTGCCCTCTACCGAACAGCACCTCGGGGCACAGCTGGTGGCCAGCAGTTTGGGGCAATGGCTACCACCAGCAGTATGAAGGTAGTCTTGGTGTTACAAGCAAGAAGGAGGCCACTGAACTGGAAAAACTGAGAATGAGCAAGCTCTTGAAAATATGCCTTGTAGTGAAAGAAACAAGGAGCTTAGTTTGGTTTTACCCAGAGGAAGATTAACAGGTGACTCAAACATAGTCTATAAATACTCACATGGGAAATCAACATTTCATAACAAATGCTCCTCAACCTCACAGCAAAGATACAAGAGCCAGGGAATAAACACTGCAAATTAATAAACCGAGGCTGAGAACAGAATGCACGATTTAGCAAGGAAAGTAATCGACCATGAGTGCAACTTTCCCAAAGTTTGTGGTTAAAGCCCCCTTTCCCCATCCCCATTTTCTGGATGTAAATCAAGACTAAATTTTTCTCCTAAAAAAAAAAAAAAAAAAGTTGAACAGAAAGGAATTCATTTAGGTCCTGTGGCCAGTTTGACAGAGGAGAACAAAGATGCTCACCGGGACCCTTTCTATCTTCATGATCTCTGACGTTGCCTCGCCAGAGGCTTCCAAATGCCTTCCTATTACAGTCACCTCCCTGTTTTACTTTGTGTGTCTAAGGCGATGTATCCCCTTCCCCGACAGCCAAACTGCCAGCAATGCTCATATGTCGTGATGTGCTGTCAACACAATCATCATGACACAATGAGAACCGTGTTAACTGAACATAATAGCAAAACAAATATCAGGAAGAATACCACACAGACTGGCTTATTTATTTTCTGATTCAAGTCATTCATTAAAACCCTCACCATTTTCTCGTTTATCAGAGGTCACCATCAAATTTCCAGCTGCCACTGAATTTCCAGGCACAACCAAGCACTGATGAATCCACGAGGTCTTTTTGCCACAGAAATTAAGCCTCATTTGCGAGCTTTCCCCAATGTCACATTAATCATTTTGACTGTCCTGATTTTATCAGCAGAATCAGAAGTTTTTTTCTTCCTGGTGCACATTTCTTTTAAAGTCATTTTGTTGTGGAAACAAAAAATATTTACACAGTGAGGATGATCGATGACTGGATGACAAAATAAGCGCTTTTTAAATGCTCGTTCTACATCTATTGGCATTGGCTGTCGCATTGTGAGCTACAGGCTGCAGTTACGGGGACCGGCGCTCTCTCCAATGGAGCACACACGGTAGCCGTGTTTACACTGCTGCGAGAGAAGCCTCCGGAGCCGGCAGCGCTAGTAGGAAAGCAGCACATGACTTTTGAAAAAAAAAAAAAAAAAAAAAAAAAAGAACAACAACAACAGAAAAAAAGCATGTACTTTTTGGCCAGCAGCAGACACTGACTCTGCAAACAGCTGTGCCCGGTACGTGTCTCGGGGGTTAGTTACGGTCCCTCGGTGAGGTCACCGCGTGCTGCCTGCTCCTAGCAGCCTCGGCCGGAGCGGCGTAAATACATCGCGTCCTCGCACACGGCAGGCCGGCCGAGCGAGGGGGACCGTCACCTCCCGGGGCTTTGCGGGGACCAGCAGCCGGAGGCGAAGCTTCGTCACCCAGGGCCGAAAACAGACCAGCTCTGCTCACGGCTCCGCTGTCTGAGGAAGCTTTGCTTCACAGCAAAAATAATTGTAGCCGGGACAAAAATATCTGTGATGGGATGCGTATCCCACATCCGCCCACCAGTCTGGTTTGCCACACTGCCCCAAACACTGGTGTCAGCGCAACCAGGGATGGAAAGGGAGGGATGGAGCAGGCGGGGGCCAGGCTGCAGCAGGGACTGCTTAAACCCGCTTTGCCAGAGAGGGAGCGGGTGTGAAAGCGCAGGAAAAGGTGCCAGGAGATGTCTAGTCCACAGATCCCACAGACCAAGGCTGTGTCCTCTCTCCTCATGGAAAGGGAGTCTGAAAAGCCTGAACAAGCAGGCACCCTCTGCAGATTTGCAGACAACACCAAGTTAGGTGGGGCGGTTGGCCTGCCGAGCACCCGTGCTTCCATCCAGCAGGACCTTGGGAAACTTGAGGCCAACAACCTCACGAAGTTTAGCAGAGACATGTGAAGTACTGCACTAAGCTGGAATAACCCCAAGCACCAGTTCAGGCTGGGAATCAACTGGTTGAAGAGCAGTCCCACTGAGAAGGACCCGTGGGTTATCTTGAAAGCCAGCTTAAATGGGAGACACAAATGAGGCAAAGCACTCCTTGTAACGCAGGAGATCAGGGGAAGCTGTCGTCCCTT